TAGAAAACTTTATTAAACGCTAATTTTTTTATTTCATAATTCAATTTTCATTCCAATCTCAAGAAAAGAAAATGGAAAGATTACTAATTATATAGGTGGAACTAAAACATATGTCAAATATATAATGCCTATATAATTTTCTCTTTTTTTTAATAAAATTTAATATTAATTAACTATTTAATTAGAAAACTTTATTAAATGCTATATTTTATTTCATAATTCAATTTTCACTCCAATCTCAAGAAAAGAAAATGAAAAGATTACTAATTATATAGGTGGAACTAAAACATATGTCAAATATATAATATCTATACAATATTTAGAATTCATAATTTCATAAAGGCATTAACCCTTATTGAAAGAAGAGACATGAAACTAACCTTCATTAAAATAAGAGATACGAAAGATTAGAGTTTAAAAGACAAATCCAATATATATGTTAATATTTAGTGTCTATTCAATATTTATAAGGGTATTTTACAAAAAATGTAGTTCCATTCAATATTTGAATGGTATTATACAAAAAAATATAACCTTATTCAATATTAAAGTTCAAAAGCTAAATTCAAAATATGTCTAAACAAATATAAAAAAAAATTAAATCATGATTGATTTTTATTAACTAGGAACAAATTATTAATTAAGAACAAATTAGTAATTTAAAATAAATTACCAATTAAGAACCAATCTTGATATTCTTGTCATTATGCTTCTAACGATGGTGAGAGTATCTCAACTATTGGTTTTGATTTTCAATATGCATTCTTGCTTCTTCTTTTTTTCCTTTCTTTTTTGAAAAAAAAAAAAAAAAGATTTTCTTGACAATACCATAGATACAACTCATTATGTGTCACCTATTCTGATTTTTTATGCAAAGTGTCACCAAAGAGAAGGATTAAAGAGCTTAAGATGAAGAAGGGGAAAGCAAGAGTGGAGAAGTGGAAAAGTTGAGAGAAAGCGAAATTGACAGGAAGTTAGGATTTTGGTATTTTATTTATTTTTACTTTTAGAATTAAAAAATTAAAAATTAAAAATTAATTTTTAAATAATCTAATAAAAAATAAATAAATAATAGTTTAGGTCATTTCGGATTATCCGATCCACCTATAACCAACCCATTTGGGTTCAGATAATTTCTTTCTGGATCATTTCAAATTTCGAAATAACAAATAAGACCCGTACCCGACCTATAATGGATGGATTCGATCAAATTTTTGGATTAAATCCAATTTTGTCAGGGCTACCTACACATGCTAAACCTTCCAAAAATATGCGAACAAATGAAAAGCGAGTAAGCGAAAATGGTAACAAAAATTATTTTTTAGATTGCTACTACTCCTATCTTAGAATAATAATAAT